TGACCACCTATACCAACAGTTAGGCAACTTCCGGCTGGAATTAAGAAACCAGCTTGGCTCAAAGCGTAATAAATAGGACCTAATCTATTCCCGGCACCGATAACTGCAGTTTTTGCTGTTAAATCTATGTCAATTTGGTTCAAATTCGTAATATCTACGACTATTGCACCCGCAGTACTGTATTTTTCATAGGAATGTCCTCCTGATCTAATCGAAATTCTCATATTGAGCGTACTTGTACAACTCACGGTATATTGAACGTCTGCCACTATTTCAGCATATATGATTACAGATGGGGTAAACATTACACGAGTATTTTCATCTATTATATTCTGGATCACTTGGATATATTTTTTTGCCTTGTACATCAACAAAGCATGATGCAAGATCACGCTTTCTGTGTTTGTTAGCCGACGAAATTTTACAAACAATTATTAGGTAGAATAAAATATAAACGATTAAACACATTTTTTTATATGTTAATGTCATAATATTTGTCATATTAAATTTTCTTGTTAAAGTAGTTTTGAATGACAAAAATTAGGAAAGTCGTTTATATATACTTTAAAAATAACTTTACTATAGATTTAACAATATGTAATAAAATATTGTCTGTTTTTATATAAAGTTGTGCTACATTGGCGGGGAAATGCCACGTACTTTACAGAAACCTGCAAAATTTTTGCATAGATTTATGGTCTTAAATATTATATTAAGAGGAATTTGTTATTTGGTGCATGGTGCATTCGGTGCATCTCGTTGATTGAGCCAATCTGATAGCACGATCGTGTGCGCAATATGAAGATGTTTAATAAGAAAATTCTTCATATTTTTGTAAGTTGATATTTCACCTAAGAAACTATCTTTCGTATTTTAATAAAAAATATTTCGCGCCAAATTTTTGATATAAAACTTTAATAAAGCCCGCAAACCGTAAAAAAAAAATAGTATGCATTGAATACACCGGTGTGCTATTTAAATCTTTCCACAATGATATTTTAAATTAATATTAAAAAAATTGGTGTTAAAAATTTTATATACAAAGTTTATAAAAACTATAAAAACACATCATAGGTACAAAACCATCATAGGTGCGTTTAATAATAAATGTAATTCTAAATAAGAATCTTATAATCATTTTAAACATCTTAAACAATCATTTTATAATAATCTTATAATTTTTATAATTATTAAATATAATTTTATTGTTATTATTCTATATTAACTAGAGGATGCAGATGTGGGTGGCTTCGCCGCCCGGTTGAGGCTGCTATGTATTATTTCTTAAAAGAAACAATATATAAGATTATATCAGTAGATTTAGATATATTTAAGTAGATTTTATTGTATATAAACATATGTATAAAATATAAATATATAGTATATTGTTTTATTTGATATTTATTTTTTTAAGTTACTTGGATATGGGATTTAATGACTTAAAATATAGGGTACGAAGTGTGTTTTAGATATAAAGTCAGAACTGGTGCTAGTTATTATAAGGATAAATTTTATATTGTAGAAATAAAAATTACGTGTTTAGGGAATTTATTTACTAAGAACAGACGCATTAGAGTGGTAGACTTAATTAGGACGTAGAAGTATCTAAGTCAAGTATTAAAGTCTTCGTTTAATCTAGTTAAAGTCAGGCAGAAGTTTGTATGATCGTCTAATAAATTCAATTTAATTTTATATTATTTATACAGTTTAGAGTATTTTTTTAAAAAACCAAAAACTAATCATAATGAAATAAAAAAAAAGGCTATCTAGAAGGTCTCATCAGTGCTGTAGGAGTTTATAGCCAAAAATAAGATCTAATTCTCATTTGTTTAAAAAAGTTTGTATAGTAATAACTTCTCAAATTTTGCTAAAATCAACTTATTACTAAGCTAATGTTTTTAAAAAGGCAAAATTAGATCTTATTTTTAACTATTGATTCCTACAGCTCTAATGAAACTTTCTATACAGCTTTTTTTTATTTATTATAGTTGGTTTTTGTTTTTTTTTTAAAAAAAAAGTCTTTTAAGCCATCTAAATAATGTAAAATTAAATGGAATTTATTAGTAATCAGACGAAATTCTGCCTATGACAGTTAATGAGAAGTTCAGGTTCTAAGTATTTATTGAATATTTGTTTTATTAATAAATTAAAGTATAATCGGTTTGATAGCAACAGTATTTATATTAAATAACAAGTACACGATAAGCGTAAGGCTTTCGATAAGGCTTAGCTAGAACGATAATGCTAATACTAAAGGCATACAGAAACTATTCATTAAACATGTCACCTCAATACCAACACAGCCATAAAATGCGCAATAACATATCACAAAGTTAACACCAGCCATGTCGTGTCGATAAGTTTTTTAATACTAGTTATAAACGTATTTCACCAGCCATGTACTATACTCATGAGTACTGAACACAATTTTTTGCCGAAAAAAAAAAAAAAAAAATCAAATCCTTTCATCACGAACTTTCTTTTTGGTCTTTGACGGCAACAATTATCAAATCATCTACCCAGCAAAAAACACGACACAAAAATACAAAAAATCGAAAAATTCGACAAACAAATCTTATTTAAAATACAAAAAAACATAAAATGCAAATTTACAAAACCAGATTTACTATATCCAGCATATACAGCGAGCGAAGGTTTGCATCTAGTACTTAATACTAGAACGAATGAACTGTACAGACTGTACAGAACGAACGAACTGTACAGAACGATCTAGCAAGAACATCAACCATAGTACTATAAAAATGGCAGATGTAGATCATTCCTTTACATAATTACGAGGAAATTATCTTGACGATCTCACATCAAAGAATAAATAGGCATATAAAAAAAACCGGAAAAATCAAAGCACTGCAAGCCATAAATAGTAAAAAACCGGTACATACATGACCACAATGATACAACAAAATTGAGTAGGGGTAAATCTTAAAATCAAATAATCTAATTCTGGAAAATATTATATTATACCTTTAATATTATCAAAACAATTTTGCATGTTTTTTGTAAAATGTTTTAATAAAAGTGTATTAAATTGGTTGCCAAAATCAGATATTAGAACAGACAAATGATGTATGCAATATTCGTAATATCAATATTAGCAATATATCACAACGTCCACAACATAAAGTTGTATTATTGCCTAAACATTAGTTTTGTGCTATTAACGTTTGTAGAATTATAAAAAAAACTTCCCAATTCCTCTTTCGTTGTATGCAAGCTTTCTAACTTTTAACAATTAAATAAACTCCGAGATTAATTAATTAAAATTTTGGGGTTGTAAGTTTGGCACACCAATTAAACAATCAGTTATTTCAAGTAAATAACGTCAAAGTCAGGATTCATGACTCCTATTGTCGACACTCCCCCTCGATTTTAATTAACAATAACCCAGCAGCACTTAAATGAATAAGTGAGGGGAGTGCAATGTTAATAATAGAAATTAATGGAAAGATAATTGGCTGGAGCTGAGGGGAGCGAGGTGAAAGCCTTTCAAGCCTTATACTACAAAATTTTCGAAAATGTCCGGTTCCCAGTTACACTGAACAAAATTTAAGCAGTGTATCCAGAAATTGAACCTAAATCGAGTTCAACGTTTGGTACCGAATTTTTGGTTTAAAATATAGTAGCCGACTTTTAATAGAATATAATAACTGACTTTTAATAAATTATAATAAATTATATATAAAATTTAGTAGCTGACTTTTAATAGAATATATTATAGCAGTTAACTTTTAATAATAAAAAAAGAATCGTTTATCAGTGAAAATAAAAATTTATATTGTCATAAATATGTCATTGCATCGTAAGTTATAGATATTTAATATGTAAAAAAAACATTGTCATATTC